TTAGATTGGGAGTTTGTATTCTTCTTCCTTTCACCTCTGGAATTCTCTGAAATTATTGCTTAGACAAATTCTTCCAAGACAGATTCTTTATACATTTAGAATTCACATACCGTTGAGTGCATTCTCATGTGTGTCTTGTTTTGATATTGGGTACATGTAGTTGGAAACTGTTAAGATTCAGGCATTGTGCCACATTGTACACATGCCTGTAGACATAATGGCAAATAAACATTGTCACAAGAATGCATCTGAGTCCATGGAAATACAGACATGTACATATAACAGTCTCTGCATCATGCATGTGTCATTTTTCGTTTCTTGGTCAGCTTACATTTTCGATTTCCTTTCACCAATCCAGCAACATTCAGGCATGGTCCCAGCCAGTCTAGACACAAGAATTCACCCATTTGAGGGAGTCGACTACGTGTTAAAAAGATGTTTTCGAAGAACATCCCTCCAGTGACATTGTATTCATGAACATTGTATATGTACATGTATGTGCCTCTTAGCAATTAGTATCACCCAAAGGCAAGGCATCAACCTTGTACTGATAGCACAGACTCTTTTTCCCTGTTCATATCATCTGTGTTTTTGATGTAACTGTTGAGGTAATTTTGGAAACCGATTTATGGCTGTTTTTACATGTAGGTGGAGTTAATGGGTTTACATGTACATGTACCGGTACATGCTTTTTTATGAGCCTTAGTTTTCCCTGCACTCAAGGGTTTTTATATTGTACTGCCATATTTCCTATTTACTTAATATTCTGGTGGGGATTTGTCTGTTGTAGATTACATGGAGGTATGTATGTACATGTAAGGGGGAAAATTCCAGTTTCCAGGTGCTTGTATGTTACCGGTGTGTGTAAGTGCATATGTACATGTACGTGTATAGAGCAGTGAAAAGTTTCCTGTTTAATCTCTGGATGTCTGATTACAATAAACCCTACTGTGAAGTTTCTTGAAGGGATCCAAAGGAAATGGAAAATGAACAGATATTTGTAGATCCCTGGGTTTTCTTCAACCATAAGGTAGACAAGGACTTTTGAAGAATTGCACATCCCTCTTATTGGAAAGCTCCCTTCAGCTTGTGTCTGGCATGTTGAGATTGTTGAGTGCACCTTCCGACTCTGTCTGCCCCATCTCATTTTCTGTCTGCTCACTCGCTACTTATCATTTCTCGCAAATCTCCACCTGCTCTGCAAGCAGATTGTTGCTCGAGTTTTTTTAAAGTCCCACTTCAGAATCCACCCGGGGAATGTTCCTGCCCTGACTGGCGAACTTCTCCTGTTCATCAGGGACTGTAGATTACTGAGTATGAACCCCCAGAAACCTGGCCAACTGGAAATTAATGGTCCAATCCTTCGGCAAGCTGCTGAACTAGTAGCAGCAGTGGTTGGGAAACCCTGCAGCCAGGAAGCTGAGATTATAAAAGTATGTGTTCCCACTGGCAAGGATTAGCCTGTAGTTCAAGGCATAGGTGGGTCTGCTAATGCCTACGGTACCCCATACATGTAAAAAGATGTTATCTACATGTATATTGTGCTGTAGGTTACTGCTGTCTTTTCATAAGCTGTGTGTATTCTTGTTGAATCCAAGTTTGTGTGGTGAGCAAAACTTGTATACTATATTTATTTTTGTTTGATCTAGACATTTATTATGAACATGAAGATGCATCCATGGTTACAAAGATCTTTGAAAGATGCTGCTGTAACTCCATTTACCCAACCCTCTTGTTAATTACCCGGGTGAGGTTAACGGAACGAGTAATGCACTAGTGTGTTTCTTTACACAACATGTGCTGCCTGCATGTACTTGTACTTGTATCAGTTTTAGGATCTTTACTTTTAACCCATTCTCTATAGAAGGTGAAGTATCAAGTCAGAATTCAGACTTGTCTTGCAGAGGTTAATGTCAGTAGTGAACTTGTAGCCCAGAAATCAAAACTCATTTCCCAAAAAACTAATTCAAAACTGTTCTAACATGCCCTGACCCTGAATTTGTTGGAATATGTTTTGAAAAGAAAGGCTCAACTCACCAGAAAAAACTTAAGCTACCCAACTTTTCTGCCAGAAGGGAGTTATTTTTGCCCCTTAATCTCAAGATTTATACCAGGTAGATGGAAGTTTTGAATCTCAGTGGTAAAGTTATTTACCCTTTGGCAGATCTTAATTTTAGAAAAGATCAATATTTTAATGCCCAGGGAAGGAAGCAATTGTGGAGGTGTGTCCAAAAACAGTCCTCAAAAATCCAATTTCCTGTTGGAATTGTTTTGCAACAATATTTACTGAAGTGAGGCAGAAAAAAAGTAATCCTCTAGGGCAGGAATGAGAATGATCAGCCAAAGACTGTTCAAAACAGGGAGTCCAGTACCGGTACATTGTGAACTGCACAAGAGTTTTCATGTTTAGTAGCGGTCAACTAAAAGGCATTGCTTATTTCCAACCCGGCCACAGAAGCATTAAGTTTCTGAATGCATTTAAGTGTTTTTGATCCTGTGAGGATCACAATTTTTTTACTTTCAATGAAAGTTACTGCCTGCACAGATATTAAGCATTTCTTTAAGTGGCCATCATGTGGTGAATCTAACAGAAATATGTTGATAAGAAAATCTGATCATAATACACACGTAGCTTGCTTTATTGCTAAATGCACCTCCCTATTAAATGGTCTGATTAGACTGGGGGGGAGGGGGAGGAACCTCAGATGCTTTTCACCTGAATTTAATTAGAGGGAGTCTATTCCATACATTAGGACTGAGAAGCCAAACATTGGCAAACAGCACGTAACTGGCCATGGCCATAGAGCTTGTCTGCTCCTGGCTGTGGGTTGGCATGACATCATTCAAGAGATGATTGAGTCATTATGATCCTGTGGAAATTAAGTGGCAGTTAACTTTCCGGCAGGGTTTTGTCTATGATGCATGCGTATGCTTTGTTCTGAATGTACCTGTATTCTCTGGAAATTCCATGGAAATTAGTCTTTCTTGATAAATTGGTACTGATAGGCTTACACTATAATTATTATTGAAATTTACACATGGTCAGAATTAGCAGAATCAATGTGAGGATACGAATGTGTTCAGTAATGTGACTGTTTAACGGTTTTGGCCTTCTGTTGTGCACTTTTAGGGAAAGTTAGCATATTGCACTGCATACATGTATGTTTCTGTTGTTATCTGCCAGTATGTACGAGTAAATTGATTACCTTAATGAATGTGTTCAGTAATGTGACTGTTTATGGTTTGGGCCTTCCGTTATGCACATCTAGGGAAAGTCATACATGTATCACACAGCATACATGTACATGTATGTTTCTGGTATTATCAGCCAGTACATGTGTACATACAAGTAAATTGATTACCTTATAAGGGTTGCATGCTGTGTACCAATTGGTCTTTTTCCGGTATTAGACTTTACCCCTATAAATCTGGAAAATAATTAGTAAAACAGAAATAGCCAGCTTCGGAAATGTTCTTAATTATGAATGGTTTCCCTGGAAGGTGGTCATAGTCTTGGTGACTGCAGGCAACAATCTGACTGGACAGAATGGCATCGGTGGGCAGGCTGCACTGTCGGAACCAGCTGACTGAGTCGCCACTGGCTGGTTGGGGTTAGGCCACAGATCCCTGTAATCAGTCAGACTCAGAGAGTCTTGGAGTACTGAATGTGTTGGACTTGACAGGACGTTACCTGCCGGGCTGTGTCGCCAGACCCTGAGCATGGGGTCAGAACCAAGGCAGACTCAACTTTTAGACTTTGTAATCAATCAGAAGTCCAGTATTTGCAGAGACATATTGGGAAGATTAAAAAAAAACCTACATGTACATGTATTTCCAATGTAACATTACAAAGTCAGCAAGATGATATTGAAAGGTTGAGAACCAAAAATTGACATGCATTTGCAATCTTTCTGAATGAAAAATGAATATAAAACATAATCTTCTTTAATTTACAGTGTCAAAATTATTAAATGTAACCTGACTTGGTATTTCATGTACATGTATTTACTGTTTCTATAGTGTATTATGCAATTTCCAATTGCACTACGTCTGTACAAAATGGTTTAACTTTTATAAAATGCAAAAGCTGCATACTGAAGTGAGTGACAAATACACATCAATAAAGACACTTTCGTGTCTGGCTGTCCCGGCCGCTTACCTGTAGAAAATGTGATGAATAAGATCTCCATGCATAAAGGATAAATGCACACAGAACCGCTAAACAAAAAACATGATTGATTCTTCCAGGAATTTTGTCAAATCAAACCCACAGTTTATATCCGAGCATTGGGTTCAGTTGCAGGTCAGTCAGCCTGTCTGAACACAGTCTCTGTGCCGGAACCAGCCTACTGGCTTTCTGGGTTTTTTGCACTTTGTACTGTCTCCTGTTAGCATCTGCTCCCTGTGCATAATTTACGATGGGTAGATGTCAAGGGCAGGGAACAGACACTGGCCGTGAATTATTGCTGGCACCAATGCCTCAAACAGCTCCAAACAAATTTGTTTGGTTTTAAAAAGACCCACAGTATTTTGGGTTGGAGGCAGGGACTTAGAAATGAAATCATCAGAATTGTAGTGGAAATTATGATGGATGAGAAGGCCTGTTTGATTCAATTAGTTCAGTTGAAATCAGGCACAAGTAATATCAATAGACATTAGCATGTGTATTAAAGTAAATGCTACAGTCCTTGTGGGCAAATTTTTTTCTGGTTTTAATATGACCTGGTAAAAACCATTTGTGTACACGTATACTGTATATGTATACGTTGTACATGTTTGTCCCTGGTTAACTACAAAATATATGAAGCACTGTTTAAACGTCTGACTTCATAAAAAAGCAGAGGATTTAATATAACTTTAACTTAGAAATTTTGCTCATTTTATTAAAAATAAATGGTTTGAAATTAAAGAGTATTTGAAACTCTAGATTGCACCTTTTTTTTTCTTTTATGCACTTGGATTTTTAGTTGATTGTGGTATTATTTGTTGGCCATCTCCAGGCACTATTCGTACTGCTGAGCTGCTGGACAGGGAGAGCATCCCGTATTTCTGGCTGACGGTCTATGGTCAGGACCACGGCGCAGTTCCCCTCCACTCCATCCTAGAAGTATTCATCCGCATTGGAGATGTCAACGACAACAGTCCTATTCCGACCAAGGCCATCTTTGAGGCATACATCCCAGAGAATTCGCCGGCGCTGGAGGAGGTGATCCGCGTGGAGGCGACAGATCCGGATGAAACCTCCAATCAGGCCTTGACTTATGAGATCACGTCAGGCAATGCCTATCGCCACTTTGCCATCAACAGCTATACAGGTTAGTCAATTTCTCTTTGGAATTAAAAAAAACTTGTAACACTCACACCTTTCTGCCAGTATTTCTGTTCAAATCTCTGTAAGGTTTTTCACTGAGTTTGCCCTCAGATTGTTTTTTTCCACAGAAAATCAGTCTGTTTTCACCAAACTGAACAATTCTCACCTCTCTGTTTGAACATCCATGCCAAGTTTACTTTGAAATTAGAGCTTGTCTTAGCTTAACTTTAAATTCGACCATCTTTGGATGGTCAGCTGTTCTAAGCACACAAACAATTTTCTCTCTATTTGTGTATGCATATTTTACCTCTTTGCGGCACCAAAAATGAATGGGTCCCTCATTTCCTTTTGCTGTTTTGAGTTTCAAAGCATTTAACTTCCAAATTCAAGAGTCGAGGGGGTCTTGCATGACAGGTGGACCTTCTAGGATTGTTTGGAAAGCTCACACAGGGCCTCCAGACAGCGGAAACAGTTGTGCAGTTGCTACCCTGCTGGATTGGGCACTAGATAAACAAATACAGTAATTCTTCATCTGTTGGCCTGTCAGAGAGTCCAAAAGACCAGTGCAAAAGAAGTGGAAAGGGAAGAGGGCTGGGAGAGAAACAAATGTCACACTGGAATTCCTCGCTTTCAGGTTCAGCTGTTTGGTCATGATGGGCTCAACTTGTTTTGAGTTCCTAAAAACCAATGGCAGTGGAAGGGGGGGGGGAAAAGTATGGGAAACCGGTAGTGGTTGATCATTCAACACACAACAAGGGGGCAGTTGTGTCAACTGGATGAAAGACTAACTTGTAAATCTAAGGGTTTCACCAGTGGATGGAAATAGATGTATTGGTTGGTTTCAGATCCCCCCAAACCCCAGAACCAAAACAAAACAAGAAAAACACATTGGAAATGAATTTCATTTCCAATGTTGATTTTTTTTTATATGAAAGTCACCTGTGTTCCGGGAATGGTTGGCTGAACAAGAATTATTTTCAAGATCATATATCCGTAATGGGATTTTTGATTAAAATCACATTATTTTCCTGGAGACTTCACAGACTTTTTGACAGGCTGCTGGTGTAACTTGGTATGAGGGTTTTTTGTTTGTACATGTTTATTTTTAATGTAAACACAAGGCAATTTGTGATATGTTTCCACATCTGTTCATTTAATTTGGAGATACTTGGGTTGGGTGCATGCACGACATGTGCATTTGACTGTATGGAGAAACACTGTAAACAGTATAACAGCAAAGTCAGTGATTTCTATCCATCTGTGAAGTATTAGTCTCAATTTTGAGACAAAAGTTCTTATTGGGTCAACTACTGTACATGAATATAAAAGAAGCAGTGTGTGTGTTGACTCTACCAAGTTTTTCTTACCAACTTTGGCTTTGTAAGCCTTTGAGCACAAGTTTTACAATTATCTTTCTATTTTGAGCCAATGTTTATCGATGGAGCAAATGTTAACTGTTGCTGGAAGCCTAGTCATATTCAGCCCTCACAATCAAATCTACAGGCGGCATTGGTACATGTATGATATCATCATTGAATACATTTCTTTTCCCATTCTCCATCTTGTTTTCGAAATTGCCCTTTCTATTTTCTTCAACATCTGTTCAACTGTGCAGTGCGATGTGTTTACAATTGAACATCTGCCCTGGAACTTGTTTTTCTCATTTGGTTTTTATATCCCAACCCTCAACCTCCCTGAATGTCATAATACTCTGATGTTATGACATTCTGGCCGGAGTCAGTAGGCTGGGTATGTCAGGCAGGTTGAATGATGTTGGGCCCTGTAAGTATCCCAGGAAAACCCCTGGCATTTTCTCAAACACTGGGATGCAGTGTTCATGGGCATGATGGATGACTACCGTCCCGACATGGGATGTTCAGAAAAATCAGTGATTGGAATTGCAGGCATTTCCAGATCTGATGTATGATGTATACAAGATCTTTGGGAATAGTGGAGGAAAGACACATTCTTCCGACTTGTTAATTTTTGGGGAATGGAGTTGACCATGACAAAGTCATGTTGTGGATAAGGAAATTCTACATCACCCATGAGATCCATAGTCACTTTTCAGATGTTATATTTGTCGAGACATTTTTGTTCAGTTGGCAAATTCACTTTTGTTCAAGAAGTTTATCAACTCTTTACATAATACGCAAAGTGCTGTATACAGGACCATGTTGTGAGAAGACGTTCACAGTAAAGGTGCACACAAAGTTCCGCTTTTGAAGGGCAAATTGTGCATTTATGGAATTCTGTAGCATATTTGACATGCTTTCAGGAGATTTATTGTAAAACATTACCCAATTCTGAGCGGCCCCAGTGTTAATGTGCTTTCAGAAGCCTCAACCCCTGAATAGTGCATACCTTTTATAGGCTGTCACTTCTGATCTTCTGCAGATGTTTGACAAATGAAGCCCCCAAATCTCAATGGATTTGCTTTGGGGTTTCAAAGAAAAGATTTCTGTCATATACTTTATATGTTTCCCAGGTTTGCTTCATTTCAAGAAAGTATTTCTTTCCAGTGCATTTCACAAAGCAGACCTACACGTGCACGTGTATACTCACATGGAGGAAGACAATTCTTTTTCCCACAGAGAAAATTTAGAACACATAAAAGATTGAGGAACTAACCCCTTAACATTTTTGTAGGGCAGTGGGAATGGTTTGCCCCCTTTGCTGGGAAATTCCAGTTATATGTACGCATGTCCTGCATACTTAGCAGCATGTATACAAATCCTGCTGAGAGTGGGATATTGTGTATAAAATGCAGAGGTGTGGAATTTGGTGTTTGTACGGGGAAACTTTCTTCAGGTCCAGTGTTGACTTAGTTTCTCTCCAAAGCATTGGTTAGGCTTCAGAGAATTTGTTCTTACTGGATGTCACAAACACTGCGCAGTTAGCTTTTCGTATAAACTAACCCGAACAGTCTTCAAAGCATAACTTTCATATTGAGAACTGCAAGGTTTCAGTAGTCCTCAATCCTCCCAAGTGGACAGTGTAGGTAACAGTCTCAGTCTGTATGACATGGCCATCAGTTTCTTTTTGTGGACAAATTCACTTGAAGTATTTGGACAGAAATTGTCCCATAATGGCAGCTATTTGTACTTGATACAGACACTGGTACGTGCACGTACTTCATTCCATCAGATTACTATATCTGATTTTTGGATGTATTTGGGTTTCATTGTTGCACACGCCTCCAGATACTTGAAAAAGTCATTCATGAGCAGTGATGATCACAAAATGTCTGTGTAACATTTTTGGATCTGCCTTTAACTCAACAACTCTGTTTGCCTAGTTTGCTGTAAGATATGCTGTTAATATTTAGGAAACTAGAATATTTCACTGGGAATGTGAATCACAAGAGGATTGTACGACTTCAGTTGAAAGGTCCACTAATTGACTACCTTCGTGTTGCTTATGTTCCCTAAAATCAGGAGAAAAAAATTGGCTTTGAGAAGGAAATGGCAGCGGAAGGTTTTTGAAATCGTCGTGCTGGCTCTGCAGAGTTATTGTTGACTTTCAGAGGCTTCATTCCAAGTATTGAGGAAGCCCAAATCTCATGGTCTTCCCTTCCTGGCGGTCCACTATCAATGATCCTTTGTCACAAAATCCAACCTCACAAATAGGATTAAAAAATGGACACTAAAAAAAGATACACACTGACTTGATCTTCTTAGATGGAGCTAAGCGGATTCTGGTGTTATGTTCCGCCCTGGGATTGTACAAAAAAGTCTAGAAGATATTGTCTTGACCTGTACTGTACCTGTACTGAGCAGGCAGTTTGTGCATTGCCTGGGGCTATGTTGAACCTGTACAAATACCTGTATTGTATATAAAAAAATCGTTTTCCAATGTCCAGCAAATCCATTGTTCAGTTTGCATAGTTTTGCAAATCATTAATCTTGAATACTGATGAAACACATGTAATGTGTAGTGCTGTGTGTAATTGAAGAAAGTTTGTGGAAACACTGTTATTCCAAAGATGCTATCTTTTTTTTATCTGTATGGGTTAAAAAGGTTTGCTCAGCGGGAGGGGATATATGCATACCGGGTACCTACATGTACCATACATAGACAGTATTATACCTCAACCATTTAAGGTAGAAGCAAAACAGCATGACGTTGATCCATGTATCTAAATGTAAGCGTTACATCATGCTTGATGAGTCATGCCAGTTAAAGCCATGGAAATCTCCAGACTTTGTTGAATTCTGACTAATCTGTGCATTATTGATTCAAGAGTCCACACACTACCCAAAATGAATACAGGGGCCCAAGAACCCCTCTCCACTCTAAAGCCCCTGTACCAGGGCAATAATTCCCAGTTTTAGACTCCTGTGGCCGTTCAGGACCAAAGAATTAAAAAGGCTAATCAGCTATGGGCTGATTGTCCCCTTCTGGCTAAGCCAGCTATTTGTGGTTTCTACCACTGGCAAGTTGTCCTCTTTGTTCCTGGCTTGCAAATTTTTATTGCACCAATGTAGGACCCAATCCACAGTTGTGCTCTGTACTTCTCATAATGTGAGGTTTGAAAGGCTTGTAAATTGCCACAAAGCTCAAGGTGGGAAAACATACATTTACAGGACAGAGCTCCTTGACAAATTGGAAGCTCAGTGAAGCTGTGTGGTCACTGGTAATATGTATCCTGCAAAGTCCATTCATTTCATTTTTAATTTACAAGAAGTTTGCCTTCCAAACTTCCTCAAACATTGCTTCATTATTCCAATGAATGTTGGGGAGGGGTCCCTTTGGTCTGATCTCTCCTGTTCTACATGTAGTCTTCAGCTTCCTAATTCCAGCCTGACAACTCCACAAGGTCCTTTCAGTTATCATCCCTCCTTCCCACAGTTCCTTATACCTTATCAATACAGAACATAACAGGCCAAATTATCTGCATCATATTCCTGTAAAAAAAGAAGAACCAATTTTGGATCGTTAATCATTCCGATGAAAGAGTCCTGGTATGTGATTCAATCTCCAGGAGGGCCAACTGCTATTTCA